TTTTTGGAAAAAAGTTTCAAAAACTGTCATTTATGTTACCTTTTTCTGTCAAATATCACTAATATTTTTTTAAGTAAAATTAATATAATTTGAATATTTTTTTTTTATATATATATATATGGTATTTTGTTGTCTCAATCAATTATATATATGTTGTTGTTTCTAGAATCACGAATCTCTGCTGTATAATGATTGTTATTGTTGATAATAATGTTGATAATGAATATAATTCATCCTCTACTAATATTATATTTAAGAAAACAATTCAAATTTTTTTATAATAAATAATATTTTCATCTACGTCATTTTTAGCATCAAACCGCGCAACGCGCGGGTGCCGTACTAGTAGTCCATTATTTATGTGCGTATTTATCCGAATACATTTTTGACTTCTAGAAAAGATGAAGTTGCCAAGGATAATGTTTGTCTACCTTTCCCAAGAAGTAACGGGAATGCTGAAGATTCCTGGAAGAACTCACGCCCGTTAAAAATGCTACTCCCTCCATTTTGAAATATAAGGCGTATAAAGATTTCTCAATTTTTTTGAAATATAAGGCGCGCTCAAAAATCAAGACAAATTTTTGCATTTTTTTCCAAATATACCCTCATTGTGTTGAAATTAAGGAAGTGTGGAGTGGTTGTGATTAGAGTAAATAAGGTTAATTTAGTCAATTTATTCATTAATTAATGTTTTCTTAATATTTGTGCAATAACCTTAAATGCCTTATATTTCAAAATGGAGGGAGTATATAACTTCAACAAATTTGACATTTTCGTTCAAGAGAATTAATGGACAAATTGGAATTACTGCTGGATATATACGAGTTAATGAAATTTTGAAGGTGCATATACTGACTGTTGAAAAAGAAACTTTGAAATCGGACTTTGTAACAAACACAAAACTAAATTAATGTTTCTTGAGGAACCATGTCAACTTCCTAGGAAGCATCCTGCCATTTTGGAGTTGCAAAACTTGAATAATAGCGAGGTTAATGAAACACAANAGATTAGAAACTGTGCATCATTTTATATTTTCTATTATATTTTTTTGACTTTTTTCGCATCACAAATCTATATTTTTTTATTTATTTTTGTTAGTGAAATCATTTATTTATTTACTAACGATTTCTTCATCGCCTGACACGTGGCACAAACAAAGTGACTTTCACCCAGCCTCAAAGGTTGAATAGTGGACCAGCCGATCAACTCGGTCTCGGATGGAACGATTCCTCTAAAGTGCTTGATTTCCAAGCCACAGGTCGACCTACATCCTTCGAATACCGACTTCTGACAACGCATTCACGACTGACAAGACACATGTCCATTCCTTTAATTGATGTACTAACCTCGTGGACAGTGCTCGTGGGTTTTGCACTATAAATATACCCTCATTTATCGTAATAAAGGACACTAATTTATTCTCTTTCTAAAAGTAGTTGATGACACAGTTTTGCTATGGAACCATCGGATGGCTCGGCTTATGGAACCATCCACACTTATTCACCAATAGTGTATTGACACGTGTCTTGCAATAAATATACTTTGGACATGTGTCAATACATTAAGTGGTGGATGGCTTCATAAGAAAACCATCTGATTGCTTTATAGAATTTTTGGTTGATGACATTTATACAACACCCGAGTTGATTTATTATATAAAGACAGTCATTCGACCTCATTTCAATTATTTATCTCGTTTTTACTTAGGAAAATTTTCCCAATAATTGACTCAGCTTTCATCAATAGATTAGTGCTAGAGGAATGACTCCATCATTTGTTTGGAGTAATCTCGACAAATAGCTTCATGAAAAAATGCTAGAAAAATGTCATCTTCAAGCCACAAAGATCAAGAACTTTATGGGGTCGAAAAAAACCATGAGGTGGCCCCAAAAATCGATTTCACATCGTTATTTTAAAATCTAGATTTCGTGAAGGGTTTATTCGAGCTCCTGGCACAAACCCAACAAACAACATCGGTTGTTCCAAAAACACCAACCAAAAGGGATGTAAAAACTTTCAGCGCAAAGGCAAGGAATCGGTTCAATCACATGGGACTTCACGATCTCAAAATCACCAAAGGATACGGAAGGCAATACTTCCGATCGGGCACATATTGAGGAGGCTGGGAAGAGCAAGTCAGAGCCTACATGGGGCACGAAGTCCACGTCCCCCTGAGTATTTCAGCGGTTGGAGAGGTTGAAGGCCAAACCCGACCTTAGAGAAATGTTCCTAAGGAGTAGATCGGCGAGGCATGATACCGCCGAAGTCACAACCCTGAAGAAGAAACTAGCAGAGCTTGAGGCTCGAAAAAAAGCGACCCATAGGAAGTCCTCACCGCCACCATTGGTTGTAAGCAGCTCGATGGTTGATGCGGCCTCACCGTTGGGGTCGAAAATCTTGTTGGCTTCCCCGAGAAGGTAAAAATCCCCTAGATCGGGTTGTATGACAGCAGCTCAGATTCGGACACTCACCTCAGCCACTAAATTTGTGGATAGGCTTACACGGGACCGGAAACGCCCTCATACGTCGTATGTTTTCACTCACATAGGCAAAGAAATGGTATCACTCACTCTTTCACCATTCCATTCGGAAGTGGTAGCAGTTGAGGTCGGCCTTCCGATCTCACTTTATTGGATCACAAATCAGCATGATCCTCAAAGAATCAATCAAAAACATCGTGCAAGGAGCTGAAGAGAGTCTAAAGGACTACATAGATCGGTTCAACGAGCGTGTGCAGAACATGGAACCTTGCCACCACCCACCAAGAGATGCTGTTGGTGTAGACTTTCTCAAGATTGACGCCGAACTCCATGTTTGAGTGGTCTATTTGCCAGAACAAACCTCTAACGTTCCAAGAATTCTTATCCCGTGCACAGCAGCATATAATCGTAGAAGAGTCCATGTCGATCCCACCTTTCGAGCTGTCGAATAGCTCTAACGTGAAAGGAAAAAAGACGAAATTAGGTCAAAGGAAAATCGAGCTGCCCAAGTCTGGACATCAAAAAAACAGCACCAAGAAGAGCTGAAAACCAATTATCGAAGTGTGTACTCGGCTGGCACAGCGATCGTATATGAGGAGCTGAAAAATAAAGGGATTATTCCCGAGCCAAAGCCAATCCGAACCAGCGAGGATCAACTCGATATGTCAAGATATTGCACATAATCAAATCACAAATCCATCGGGTATAACACCGACCAATGTTACAATCTGATTTATGCCGTTTTAAAATTGATTGGTGATATGCAAGTGAGGAAGTTTACAAAAAAACCCCGAGGGAATAAACAAAGACTTAGCAGATGACGGCTCGGGCGTTGAAGAAGAAAGAGATACAGAGGTCAACCCGAAAAGGTTGAGAAGGCCCCCACTAGAGATTTTGACCTTCAGTTGGGGTGGGTCAGTAAGAAGAAGTGAGCTCCTCTCGGGCTAGAAAACGTGCATGAGACTCGCCACCCCGAGTGGAACCCCAAGCAGACCGACCACAGTCCAAGAGGACCTCACAGGTTCGCCTCATGAATACTATCCAACGAGGGTCGACCGTTTATCGAAGACAGATGCAGGCCTATGCTACGAGAGTGTATAATGCTGGACGACAGATTAGGAGACAGGCCACCAATGGTCGAACGAACCCAGTCACCTTTTCCAATGAGGATGTCGAGTTGTTTGATCATCTCCACTCAGACGCGTTGGTTCTTATGACGTCGATCTGCCACATATAAGTGCACAAAATCTTGGTGGACCTGGTTCTAAAATACAATTTTTTTTTTTACCATAAATATTTTTCATTTATATCACTATTTTCACTATTAAAAAAAATAGCATTTATCATTACTAAACTCTTAATTTATTTTCTTTCATTATTTTATTTTTCCAATGAGAAACAAAAAACGCAACCTTTATTTTTCTAATGAGAAAGGATGAAACAAGACCTTTAATCATGACGATTTCATGTGTAAAATTTTAAAATACTGCAAAGGTTCGAATTGGGATATTTATGTAATTGGCTGATTTTAAATTTTGAGATTTATTGTAGAAAAGGTAATACAATAAATTGTTGTTGTCCATTTCCAAACATATTTGTATTTTTAAACAAATTTATTGATACACAAGTGTTTAAGAAAATATGACACATAAATTGTTTTAAAAAAATACGCAATATTTTGGCATACAATTTTGAAAATTAAAATGAATGATAAGAAGCAAAAAAGTAGGACAATATTTAACCATACAATTTTGAAAACAAATTTTCAGATAAAAAATCAATTTTAATTTCATTCAAAAAAAAATATTTATAAGTAAATCAAATTATTTACACAAAAAAGTCAATTTTTCATTTTTGAATTTAATATCCACCTTTCTCTATATATATAAATACCTCAAATCAAATATTTTTTAATAAAAATATACTATTTATTTCACCTCATATTTTTTCTCCAAAATTACACTAATATGAAAAAAAAGGAAAAAAATATTATTATTTATATTTTTCTAAAACAACTATTGATTAATTCACATCTTTTTAACTATTATCAATATACTAACTACTTAATTACACTAATTTTAATTATTATAATTCAATTTTTATCGCAATTTCAAATCTACCTATTCATCTAAAAAAACATTTTTTTTACTTTTTTTCGTCTTTATTTTTAAACTAAAAAAAACTAAAAAAATATATCGAATTACAACCTTACCCTCCAAAACCAAAACAGCATTTATTCCTTAAATTAAAGATATTAAGGATATTCAAATGTCCAAAATCCAAATCCCTGCATCATCATTATCAACACTCACTAAATATGCCTAACACCCACACTCCAAATTAAGACGCAGTAATTTACACAAAGACAAGTTTTTTCTCACTTTCCCCCAACACCAGATTTCCAATCCTCAAATTCTACACTTCCCCATTACTCATCTGAACACAACAAATCAAAAAGGAAAAGAGAAAACCAAAAATGTAATAAATCACCAGCATCTCCAAAAAATCCAACCCTCGTCAATGGCTGCCCTCCTCTGTTCACTGAAAATCATTCTTCTCCACCTCTCATCAACAAACATTGGCGCGAAAAGCTACGTTTTGTCAACCCCATATACTCTAAAAAACGGGCAGACCTTAATCTCCGACAACAACCGTTTTGAACTCGGATTCTTCAACCTGTCCTCGGGCCGGGCCCGGGGCACAAATCGGGCCTTGTGGTACCTCGGCATTTGGTACCAGCAAATTACACCGTTAACCGTGATTTGGGTCGCCAACCGGGAAAACCCGTTACGTGGGAATGACGTCATGCTCACCATGAACGCAAAAGGTGACCTTTCCCTTCGAGACAAACAGGGCACCCTTCTTCCCCTGTTCCAATCTGTCCGGCCAGTCCAAAACCCTAAGCTAACACTCCTAAATTCCGGCAATCTTGTTCTCGAGGACTCCCGATTAACCAGGTACGCCTGGCAAAGCTTCGATTTTCCGTCCGACACATTGCTGCCCGGAATGAAGCTCGGCCGGGCCAGAGTGCTGACGTCATGGAAGCATGCGAATGATCCTTCTCCCGGAGAATTCGTGCTCGGAATGGGCCCACCGGGCCTTCCCCAGCTTCTGCTTGAAGAAAACGGGCTGACCATGTCCAGGTGGGGCCCGTGGAACGGGAAGAGTTTCAGCGGGAGCTTTGTTCGGGATAATCCCGTTTTCCGGGTCGTTTACAGCCCGGACGGGCCGTCATTCTCGTACGAGGTAGCGGACGGCCGGATTCCGGTGAGGCTCGTCGTGGGCCCGTCCGGTTCGGTTCAGTTCTCAAAATGGAAAGTTAGTTCCGGCTCGTGGGTCCCGTTAGTCCCGGTGAACAAAGATGCTTGTGACGTGTACTCGTCGTGTGGGCCCTACGGGATTTGCAATCCCGACGAGCCGGGATTTTGTCGGTGTCTCGACGGGTTTGTGGAGAGCTCGCCGAACGAGTGGCGGAGTCTCGACTTTTCGGACGGGTGTAGAAGGAAAAACGGGTTGAATTGTAGCGGCGGCGGGAGTGGGAGTGACGGTTTCGTGAAGTACGTGGGATTGAAGCTTCCGGACAAATTTAGGGTTCGTGAAGGTTTGGGTTTGGGTTTGGAGGAGTGTGGAGAGTCTTGCCGCGAGGATTGCGCGTGCATGGCTTACGCGGGTGTCGATTTGTATGGAAACGGGACTCAGTGTGTGGTGTGGTTGGATCGATTGGTGGATCTTAGGGATGCGAAACGGGATGGGGACGAGATTTATATCCGCATGGCGAGAGTCGAATTAGGTACCGTTTTCTTGATCTCGATTCGCGCGTCGTTGGTTAATTATCGAGCAAATTTTTTTTTTCTCTTTTTGTTTTTTTTTTTTTGNTGTGGATAGAATGTTTTGAGCCCGACTACAAAAGGCGCGGAAATTGAATCGCATTTTTCTCTTTTACGACAATAGATGTGATTTCGTGATTCAGGTTGTTGATTGTATGATTACGACGAATCAATAATAATGATAATAAGTAATAAGAAGTTTTTGTGCCATTTTTGAGAGTAGACAAGGATGCATTTTGTGTATTAATTGCAGATGAAGAGCTTCAAGTATTTCATTGTTGTCTCCAGATGATATAAACAACCGGAAGAAGAAGAATAAAGTTACTCTAATTTCGAGCCTCCTTGTTGCAGCATATTTTGCAGCAGTAATCTGCTGTGCCTTGATCTCATGTGCATCCCCTTCCAAGAAGAAAAAGAAGTTAGGTACTTGTGAAAACTTTTATCCGATCGAGCAAGTTAAATTTGTTCAAATTTCGAACTAAACTATAAAAAGGAAGAAGAAGAATGAATACGGTTTATTTATAAAGTTCAATTTACGCGATTTCATTTGTAATAGGCAAAGTCCAAGATAAGAGTTCTGTTCCAGATCAAGATAAGTGTGAGGAGCAGTATATTCAATTATTCAACATGAGTGTTATTTCTGCTGCCACAAATGATTTCTCGCTTGCAAATAAAATCGGGCAAGGAGGCTACGGGCTCGTTTATCAGGTAACTGTATATATATTTTAAAGCCAAATTTTAAAAACTGGCTCGTTAATAAAACTGTCTGAATGAATGCAGGGGAGCTTACCGGACGAGCAAAACATAGCCATAAAAAGACTGTCAGAAAGCTCGAAACAAGGACTCCGCGAATTCAAGAACGAGATGAATCTGATTGCGCAATTACAACATCGAAATCTCGTTAAGCTTTTGGGCTGCTGTGTTGAAGGCGACGAACGAATGCTCGTCTATGAGTACATGGCGAACAAGAGCCTCGACCAATTCATATTCAGTAAGTACCTTTTTCTTTTGTCGAAAAGTATTATTATTGATTAGTAAATGATTGTTCATTACACTTAATAATAATCTGCAGGCTCAGCTAAGAAGGCCCTCTTGCTCTGGGAAAAGCGCTTTACCATTCTTAAAGGCGTTGCGAAAGGATTAGAATATCTTCACTTCGGCTCGAGATTGAGAGTCATTCACAGAGACTTGAAAGCAAGCAACATTTTGCTTGACGACGAGTTGAACCCAAAAATAGCCGACTTTGGTCTAGCTAGGAATTCCGAGAACGAAAAGGAAGAAACTACGAGAAGAGTGATCGGGACACAGTAATTTACTACCATTTGCCATAGTAGTTAGTATTTTTTTACCATTGTAATTAGCTAATTAACGTTCTCCGGAAAAATGCAGCGGTTATATGTCGCCGGAATATGTCATCAACGGCCACTACTCGATAAAATCAGATGTGTTCAGCTTCGGTGTTCTTGCACTGGAAATTATAAGCGGCAAACGAAACTGGGGATTTTGTCATCCAGATCATGACTTTAATCTTCTCGGACATGTAAGCAACACATGTGCATGTTTACGCTTAACCGAAAAAGAGAGAAAAAAAAAAAAAAAAAGATAATTTTTGCTTATGATTCTTTTTTTCCAGGCATGGAAATTATGGAGTGAAGGGAAAAATATGGAATTGATTGACCCGGTTATAGAGGACTCTTTACTTGAGTCACAAGTTATTAGGTGCATCCAAATCGGGCTTTTGTGCGTGCAGCATTGGCCGGAAGGTAGGCCGACAATGAGTCAAGTGGTGTGCATGTTAGAAAACGAGAATGTGATATTGTCCGAGCCTCAAGAGCCTGGATTCTTCGGCTGTAGATCATCATCAACAGCTGAATTCGCTCGATCGAACCAAGTAACCGTTAATGGGTTGACGGTCACTGATCTAACCGGAAGAACCTAGTCTGGGAAAACATAGAATAAGGATTTGAATGAAGAAATAGTCCAATATTAGATGACATATGGTCCTGAAAAGCTGAAACAAATAAATAGTTATAGATTTGAGGGATCGTCTGAAAAATTCATCCTTGTTTTTTTGTTGTTGTTTTCATGACTAACTGTAAAGCAATGTGTGTTTAAATTGCTGATAAAAGTTGCCATTATTTGAGATTTCTTTGTCTTAGTTTTGTTTAATGGGTTAAATTAAATTCGCGTGCCAAAATTTGCTCTCGACTTTATTTTTTGAAGACTAAAATCTAGCATGATTAAGGCTTTCGAGCTGGCTGGTCGCTTGTTCGAACGATTTCAGGGTCAGTTAAGGCATGTGTTCGATTTCGGGAGTTCAAAATCCAGCATGAATAAGACTTTCGAGTTGTTTGGTCACTTGTTTGAACAACAATCAAGATTTGTTTCGTAACCGCCTATTTGATGTAAGTCGAATGAAAAGAATGCTTGTCAATTCATGAGCCCATCAAAAATCCATTCATGAGCCATCACTTGCATATGGAATGAAACAAACGGGAATGACTAGAGTCTCGTTGACAGAATGGTTCCATCAGTGTTTGTTACCGTAGATTATCTACACAACACAATCTATGTGTGTATTTAATGGTAAAAAACACTGACGAACCATCTCGTAACGAGACTTTAGCATTTTCCAAAACAAATGCTACTATTGAATTGAAAATTTAAAAAATGAAATTTAAATTCTACTAGGAAGATTACGTATCCTAACTTCACCAAAATTTCCTCCATGATTCCCTTAGAATAGGACTGGGATTGATCCACCATTTGCATCATAATAGTCATGGACTCATGGGCCTAAACATCCCGTCTCCAACTTCTCGAAGTTCGACATGGCATCACTTTGATGATAGCCATCCTACACACTATCTTATATAGAATTGAGTATTAAAAGAACACGAGTATGTGGAGTTATCGTGGAAACATACTTCTGCTGCTCATATGAGGTGATGTGTTTGGTATGAGGTTATTCACAACATCAGCATACCTTGTGGTGATAGCTTATTGATGAAGACGAGACCGCCCTAGCCTTTCTCGACAAATTCGACCGTCTACGCATCTAGATTATTTTACATATTATATTTCCTATTATTATTTAGTAAGAGATATTTTATTTCCTTATGAGTGTTTTATTATTTAGGAATAAATAAGATAATTATCTTGTTGTACAAGATAATTAGGATTAGGATTCTCTTTCATAGGACTCTATATATTGTCCCTCTCTTATGAAGTTTGATGAATGAACGTTGAATGAAATTAAGAACTCTTGAGTTTTCTCTTATATTCCTTTCGTCTACCACGTTGCTGCATCTCAGAGTGTGAATGAAATTAAGAACTCTTGAGTTTTCTCTTATATTCCTTTCGTCTACCACGTTGCTGCATCACTTATGCTTACGTTTAAGAGTATTTCAATGAGAGCTACATGGGATGGGGGACTCTCTCTTTCCCACAACTGGACAATTTCGATAGATTGCATTAAGATGCACTAATCTTTCTTCCCACCACTTGAACCAATCTTTTTCCACAACTTGAGCCAGTTCAGTTGATTGATTTATGAATCAATCTTTTTCCGCAACTCAACTTGAACAATCTTCCAATTTTCTACCACAACTTAGATGGCATGAGGATGTATCGAAATTTAGAAGGCGGGATGGATTTGTAAGCATTTTGAATGTATTTCACGGTTGTGGATTTGTAAGCTGAAATCAGCATTTCGAATATATTTCATTGTGTGGATTTGTTGTAGGCTGCAAAAACCCTAGATTGTCCATTTATTGTTCGAGATTGAACAATAGCATTGGACATAAACTTACTTACCATTAAACCTACCATTGAACAAGAGCAGAGAATAAACGTGCAGCAAAGCCTGAACAGTTGCAAACAGGATCTCACAACTATAATCCATAAACAAGAACCAAATCCTCACACACATACATAGCGGCAACAACCAAACAGCAACACAACAAAATCATTTTAAAATATGAAAGTTTATTCAAGTGGAGATCCCAATTTTTCACAAATACTTGATAAAAAAACATAACAAGACACGGGACACAAACAAGCCATTAAACAATGGCCTGGCCAATCCCACAAACCACAACATTAACAAAGAAAACACAGCAACTTTCAAAGTTCAAGACTCAAACTTCAACTCAACAGACACATAAACGAAATTAGATTGATCCCCACAATAACACCACCGACCGGAACAGATCTGACCATTCAGAAACCACCACGAAGGCGAAGCACAAGGTGAAGGGTGGACTCCTTCTGGATGTTGTAGTCAGCAAGGGTCCTCCCATCTTCCAACTGCTTACCAGCAAAGATCAGCCTCTGCTGGTCAGGTGGAATACCTTCCTTATCCTGAATCTTGGCCTTCACATTGTCAATTGTGTCCGAGCTCTCAACTTCCAAAGTGATGGTCTTCCCAGTCAGAGTCTTCACAAAGATCTGCATACCACCCCTCAGCCTTAGCACCAAGTGCAGAGTAGACTCCTTCTGAATGTTGTAGTCGGCCAAAGTCCGGCCATCCTCCAGCTGCTTTCCGGCAAAGATGAGCCTTTGCTGATCCGGGGGAATGCCTTCCTTATCTTGGATCTTCGCCTTCACGTTGTCAATGGTGTCCGAGCTCTCAACTTCCAAAGTGATGGTCTTCCCAGTCAGAGTCTTGACAAAGATCTGCATACCACCCCTCAGCCTTAGCACCAAGTGCAGAGTAGACTCCTTCTGAATGTTGTAGTCAGCCAAGGTCCGGCCATCCTCAAGCTGCTTTCCAGCAAAGATGAGCCTCTGCTGATCCGGGGGAATGCCTTCCTTGTCTTGGATCTTCGCCTTCACGTTGTCAATGGTGTCAGAGCTCTCCACCTCCAAAGTGATGGTCTTTCCAGTGAGGGTCTTGACGAAGATCTGCATGCCACCACGCAGACGGAGGACCAAGTGGAGGGTGGATTCCTTCTGGATGTTGTAGTCGGCTAGGGTGCGGCCATCCTCGAGCTGCTTTCCGGCAAAGATGAGCCTCTGCTGGTCAGGCGGGATACCTTCCTTGTCTTGGATCTTCGCCTTGACATTGTCGATTGTATCAGAGCTCTCCACCTCGAGGGTGATGGTCTTGCCGGTGAGGGTCTTCACGAAAATCTGCATGCCACCACGAAGACGGAGCACCAAGTGGAGAGTGGATTCCTTTTGGATGTTGTAGTCAGCGAGGGTGCGGCCATCCTCGAGCTGCTTGCCGGCGAAGATCAGCCTCTGCTGGTCCGGGGGAATTCCTTCCTTGTCCTGGATCTTTGCTTTGACATTGTCGATTGTGTCGGAAGATTCGACCTCAAGGGTGATGGTCTTGCCGGTAAGGGTCTTCACGAAGATCTGCATCTGTAGTGTACAAAGGATGATTTGTCAGAAAATTAAATCAAACAAGAGTGGTTATATCGAAATTTTATAGAATTACACATCAGATCTAACAATTACACATCAGATCTAACAAATTCTAATAGCAAACGATTAAAAAAAGGTAAAATTCACCACCAGTAGGCCGAAATTGCAAATCAATCTTCAATTACAGGACAGATCTAACAAAAGCTAATACAGCAAACGATAAAAACATTAAGTAAAACTCACAAAACTATCTTCAATTAGAGGAGAGATCTAACAAAAAGTAACATAGAAAACGATAAAAAGTTAAGCAAAATTCACCACCAATAGGTCAAAACAAATTTTCCTTCGATTACAGAACAGATATATCAAATCAAATAGCAGACGATGAAAAAAGCTTGTTTTTACGAGTTAGTTCTATAGATAACACGATCTTCTTCACAAAATCGGTGGTGTAATTTTAACATAAACGATAAGCCTAACCAGATCTAGATCTATCTTCAGAAAAGACCAAAAAAAATTAAAATAAAGATGTTAATCAAAACCGTAAACATAGAAACAACGTTGAACAGAAAGGATTTCGGACCTTAGCGAAACAAGGGAAAGACTGGGAGGAAATTTGTTGAGATGCTTATCGTATTCCGAATCGGATGAGCTATGAATTCTGAGGCGAGGAACTTGTGTGATTAAATAGGCATGAGATGCCGACTTAAGCGAGGCTTCCGCCAATAAAAGGACGCCATCTGGGCGGATGACGTGTAGTGCACAAAATATGCGATACGGCATAGGCAAAGTTGTCCTTTTCTTTTGAGTGCGGTTTAACCACCGCCTATAATCATTAGAAAAATGGGTAGGAAATCGCGTAGAATTTACTTTTTTCCTTAAAAATGGAAAAAGGAAAAAAATAATAATATAATTGAAGCATCATCAATAATTGACAATATTTGACAAAATCTATTACTATATAATACGGAGAAAAAAAAATAAATGAACACTCCGAATAAAAAAAATTATTTTCCCGCTTGAATATAATGTTTTTCTCGCTTCTTCATTTCGTTTTTACTCTATTTGAATTTTTTTACATTATCCCGCCTATGCCACTTTTTCAATTTCAAAATATGATTCCAAAAAATCTCCCCAATCACTATATTACCAATATATGCGGCTGAAATTTTATTTTACTTTAAATAAAACGATCACATAGAAGATTATTTGTACACATTTCATATTATCTAATTTCCATACCATGTACTACGCACTGAAATAAAATTCAAAAGTCTTTCAAACCCGAAATCCAATATGGCCAAAAATTCACTCACTCCATTAAAATTCGCCTCGATTACACGAGCTCTCAATCAGCTTCAGAGTCGGGCTTCGATCGGGCCCGCTGTTTAAGTTTAGATACAGGCCGAACGAACCCTGCCGCCCGTTTGACATGTCCCTGAAAACCGGCACCGGGATATTCGATTCTGTGACGGTGAAATTTGGCTCTGTCGATGGTGGAAGCCCCAAGTTTCTGCTTCACTTCAAGTCAAAATATTGAGATTTTTTTGTTCGGAGGTCCATGGGATCGATGTATCTGGCGGTGGAGGCAGAGACTATGAGAAGAGAGACAGAGATGGCGACGACCGTTTTGTCTATTTGGTTTTCTCTTTCCCTTGAATCCCTTGATTGCCGATCTATGCTTCATGTCCCGTGAAGCTCATGCGCCAAAGAAAAAAAAAGTAAATCGAGATTAGAACTATCATTAGACTATGATTATATAATGATTTTTTTCAAAAAAAAAATTGAAACAGATTCAACAAAATTTGTTGGGATAAGGTCGAGTTTGTAGAAAAAATTGATAAAACTAGACAACATGATGTTTGTTCGCAGATTTTATAATTATTTAATTTGAAAAAAAAAATTCAGAAAAATGCTACAAACCTTCGCATGCACCAAATCCATGTCTATTCTTCACGATCTTCACACGAACGGGCTTCCATGTAGCAGGGATCGATTCAAGGGTAACTCGATAAAAACGGAAAGTTTGTGACAAATTACTAACAATATACATTGATTTCGGTCATTTTTTATGTTTAGCTTACAAAAATTGGAGAGTATAGTTAATTTTCTAAGTTTGGCGAAATTTTTGAAAATATATCGACCGAATATGGGGGAAGATTGTTGCGGCGTTCTGGAAAATGACCTAGGGCCTTCCTGAGAATTTATATGGATAACTCATTTTTCAGCTTTCGGATTTAATGGGTTAATTTGAGCGTTCGATCTGTAATTTTATAAATTGGGTCTGATTAATGTTACTATGATCGGGCTTCATACTAGGCCTACATTTTGGGCTAATAATTGACGTCTTAATGGACTTGATGGTTAAAAATTTTAGACCCATCTAGTTAGTTTACTCTTTAGGGTTGATCCATTTACATGTCATTGTAATGATAAATGCAATTTAGTTAAAATTGTCCGTTTAAAATATTTAATTAATTATAATATTTTGCATATAATTATTACTCAAATACAATTTATTTTATATTATATTTATTTTTTCAATATACATATTGAACTTATATATAATTTTTTTAGTTAAACGAACTACACTACTAAACTTGGCAATCTTTTTTGAAAATCTTCAAAAAAATCCTGCCATAAAGCTTTAATTTCGAATTTCAAAAATATTTTAATTCTATTTTAGGATAATTTTCATTTAATATGGAAATAAAATAAACTATTAATTTCAGTATAAATAAAGATTCTCCTTTACTATATATTACAGTTGTAGCATTTCATATCTATTGCAATTAATATCACTTGCCTGCAATATCCCATGCATGAAATTGATACAACTCAATATCTCTTACTATATAATACAGTTTAGAAAAATTAAGAGAAAAATCCGAAAGTGGAAAGTAATTTTTCCGCTTCTTTTTTCGATTTTTACCCTTTTCGGAATTTTTATTTTTAAATTTTTAATTAAATACCGCCCATGCAGATTTGTTGTGCGGATTAACTTTTTCAAAACTTTTGGATGCGATTTAAATGCACTACAGGTGAATCCTAAAATTATGGGCGAAATTCAAATTAAATAGGAATGTGTACATAAATTAAATAGGAATGTGTACATAAATCGTGTATATTAGCTGAATCCCAACAGTATAGGGGAAAGAGTCCAAACTAAATAGGAATGTGTACCATATTAAGATTTAATTTCTGTTTGTACACTTGCGTGTATGCTAAATAGAATGCCGAAAAAACAAATATAAATTATACTACTTTTCTGTTTACAAATAATAATAATCATTATATACGCATATATGGTTAATTTTTCTGTCTTGCTATTATATATATATTTTTTTATATAGTATCAAGTTTTTAGGGTAGATATATGGAAGTTATATATCGCCAGGCATGAGTCCTAAAGAATAAATATAAATATTGGTTTTTAATGAGTAACGTGTAGTAGGAAATATAATAAAAAAATATAATTGTCTATCAATTGCTAAACAAATTTGAACATTATGCCTTTTACTCTATTTGAAATTCAAAAGTAAATTTTTAAATATATTCTTTAACATTATTATTTATTTTTTTCTTATGTGATATATTCTAAATTTGATTATTAGATTTTTAAATTCAAACATTTGAAGGAAAAGACCACGAACAGATTTTTTGGTTATATTTCATTTTATCTTAACTTCCATATAATCACATTTCTAATAAATTAATAAGTATAATATTTTTTATCCAACATTTATATAATCGGATTTCTTAAAATATAATTAATATATATTTTTAACTAATTAATCATTTATATAACTTGATTTATCTCCATTAACAAACTTGTCAATTTATTTTTGAAATTAAAAAAATTTGGATGATTTTGATTTGTAAGAAAATAAAAAATAGCTTTACTTTAAAGTCTGGATTTTTTTCATTATTTTTTGTATATTAACAATCATATATTTGATAATTTATTTAAAAAAGAAAAATCAAAACCGTAAGGTTTAATAATATTTTTTAAATAAAAAATATTATATAAAGAGAAGTGTTTAATAATATATATTTTTCATTGTTTGTATTTATTTTATTTCCATAATAGATGAGATGAGAAAAATATAAAAAATTATATTTAAAATAAAGCCTAAAAAAAGGTTTAAAATATGAGCTCTTCAGTGCACCGCACGGGATATACACTAGTGTACGGTGATTCGAATGGGCAATTGATATAAAATTTGGCTTTTATTGGAAGGTGTGATTGATATAAAATATTTTGATTTTAATTGAATTTATAGGATGAAAAAAATTATTTTAAATAAAGTTGAATGAGGGAATTTTAAGTTTGTATTTGTATAATATTTAAAATGTAATAGCAAGTGATGGATAGTTAAAATATGTAAGTTGATAAATAGTAAAATAAATTGACGTGATATGTAAAAATGGTCGATTGATATTATTTATTTATATTGAAAAAATTGATAAAATTTAAGTTGAATAAATTTCAGTTAGACTTTGAGTTAGATTGTCATAAAATTATTCAAACCAAATAATTTATTTCATTTTCATTCTTATTAAGGAAGTGTATTCAATTGGGATTTCAAATGATATTTTGGGACTTTTTAAGATTTGAGATTTTATAAGATTTTCAAATTTTGGAGGTATTCTATGAAATTTTAAGTTTGGAGGTGAGATTTGAAGTACGATTTTGAATAATGTTTTTTTTTCTTTAGAAATCCCACCAAATCTTAAAAAGTCTTAACAAATCGTATTTCCAATAAGTTAAACTAGTAAGTACCCCGTGCTATGCACGGGACAGAGATATTAAATGAGTTATTTCAACAGGTTGTTTAAGTCTAAAAACAATAGGTTTAATCAGCTTGTGGATTTTGCCAGAATATTAAATATGAGCATGTTATAAACTTTGTTGTCATGTAATGTCATTATTTATAAAATTTATAGACATTGTACGTCTTCTTTTTCTTTACATTTTATGTAATGAAAAATATTTAATGCACGTTAGCATTATTTATTTATGTAATTAATTTAAAATATGTAAATAAATTTAAAATTAAATAGTGTATAAATTTTGCAAAATATACACACAAGTTTTTTTTCAGAATTTAATTGTGTATACTAATTAAACAACTTTGATTTAGCAAATGTCAATAACTAAATCCCTTCTATAATCAAGATTTTTTTATTTTTCATCAAGATTTTTTATTTAATTGTTATAAAAATATTTAATAAAATATGAAATTATATACTCCACAACATTCTATTCAGTAATAATATGACATTTATTTATTTACTTTTATTGTTAATTCCTATTTATATATATATATAAATATATATATATATATATATATTTGTATATTTTGACTATTCAATATATAAATTTTATTATTTATAAGAAAAAATATATATTTTAAAAAATTAAAATACTTCTAAGGTGAAATTTATAATTCTGAATTGCACCCGACCATCAACTTATATTTTTATTAGTATATTATTTAAATTTTCAATAGTATTATCACTGCATTTGATACATTCAATCGTGATGTACCTTTTTATAGTTATTTATTAAGTTAGTATGATTTAATCATAGTTTTTCTGACTATTTTATTAATTATTTTAAGTACTTCTGAATAGTGAATATAATTAATTAAATTAATACCTACAACCATTGATGATAATATATTTAATCAAATCAATTTTCATAATTATTTTTTGAATTGTGTCAATAAATTACTATTAAATTAATATAAGATCTTATTGAAAATATATCTAATAAATCTACAGTCAAAATTTCAATTTAAGCCAATTTATAGTAATGAGTAATAGTCATTGAGTGTACAAATTAATTATGTTTTTCATGCATAAGATTTGCTAATAAATAAATATTAATTAAATGTTGAATATAGAAAATAAATTTTCTGCCCAAAATCATGTCAATTATGACAATAAGGATTGGTCCTTTATATAGATATAAAGATAAATATAAATATAGAGGCATTGTTTTTTACTTTTTTGATAATGCATTTACACTTTGGTTGTAACTCAAGTTGTCATCTAAGTGGGCTAAATGANAGTTTTACAAAATATACACACAAGTTTTTCTTAGAATTTAATTGTGTATACTAATTAAACAACTTTGATTTAGCAAATGTCAAAAACTAAATCCCTTCTATAATCAAGATTTTTTATTTAACTATTATAAAATTATTTAATAAAATATAAAATCATATTCTCCACAATATTCAATTCAATAATAATATGACATTTATTTATTTACTTTTATTGTTAATTTCTATATATATATATATATATCAATAAACTAACTTATTATGATTCTTCAACAGATTCCTTAGTGAATTTTATGTTCGATTTATAAGGTTTTTAGGAATCGTCAACAAAATACTTCGATTTGGAGTTTTTTGAGTTTAGGATCTTCGTTTTGATTCGAAGGTTTTTTTTTTTTCAAAAGACCATAGTACGATTGGAAATGAGATTTTCATTCTCAATTATCCAGTTTTAATTAATTGTTTTGAGAATTTTTTTAAGAATTGTATGCACGTTCGATTTTTGGATTTTATGTTCAATTTAGAATGTAATTATATATGTTAGTTTTTGTAAGGTTTTTTGGAATTGTAAAAAAAAAAATAGTCCATTAATGCTAACAGATATGTAGGATCTAATGTTCATTAGCTTTTTTCAATTATTGAATGATTCTTCATATGCAGATTTCAATTATAAAAAAGATGATTTTGACCAGATATTTTGTTAACAAAATTTAGAAATTTCCAACCAATTTACACACTTGACCGGATTTGAACAAATCTACATTATTTATTTTGAGATTGAATCAAATACACATTCAATTAAATAAGGAAATTAGTTTCCAGATTTTTTGGAAGTTCAAATCAATTGGATTCTTGAAACTAACATTCAAATTGAATGGGTGGGACATGTTAATTATATTCAAAAAAAATTTACGAAATATGTAAGCGGGAAAATGACTTATGAAGCTGGAAAATGAATTAATTTTTTTCGGAATTGTTTGAATAGTTTTTCTTAACTGTATTATATAGTAATAGATACCTAAGGATTTTGTAAGACTTTTTAAAATCTCAATTGAATACCCCAATACTTTAAAGTCTTAACAAATCTAAGAGCATCTCCAATGCAACTTTTGACATTATAAAAAATCATCCATATCATCAACTTTTGAAAGTGTGTCTCTATTTTTTTCTCCAATGTATCTTGTCATAAACTCTTTCATGATGAGATGGATGTCATTTAATGTTGACAATGTTGAGCATACTTTCTAGTATCTAACACCATGTTAAACATGATGACTCATCAATTTACTTTATATTTGTTTTAATTTTTTTTTTTTTTATATCAATGAATTATTTAATTGGTCCACCTATACAAACAACTTTTTATCAAATTGATGCATTGGAGATACTAGTTTCATTGAAATTTCTAGTCTTTTAACATTATTTCAATGTGGATTAACATTACAATCACTAATTGACATGTGTTAAAAATAATGGTCTTTCACGCTTATAGCATTGGAGATGCTTAAATTGAACAAAACAGGATTTCTAAAGTCTTAGGAGGGTGTATTCAATTGGGATTTAAAGTGACATAAGACTTTTTAAGAGTTGAAATTTGTTAAGATTTCTAGATTTTGGAGAAATTCCGTGAAATCTTAAGTCTGGAGGTGGGATTTGAAGTAAGATTTCGTATAAGGTTTTTTGTTTAGAAATCCCACCAAATCTTAAAAAGTTTTCATAAATCCTAGTGTCAAATAAATTAAATACCTCAGAATTTTGTAAGACTTTTTAAAATCCCAATTGAATACTCCAGGATTTTTAAAAGTCTCAATAAATCTAAATTGAATACACCAGGATTTCTAAAGTCTTAAAAAGTCCTAAGAAATCCTAATTGAATACACCCCTCTTAAGTGTGGGATTGGATATGGATTTGATTGATATACTTGATTTTTTTGTTAATCATATTTAATTTTGAAAGAAAAAAAATGTATGGTTAGCTGTTAGACTATCCTTATTCGTGAACCAAGAGTTGGGTCACAAGAAAAAAAAAAGACAAAAAAGAAAAGAAAAAAGAAAAGAGGAGGTCATGTATGCTGCGACCCAGGTCACAATGTGACCTTGGGTCGCGACCAGGCTGTGTTTTGAGAATGTGACACTTGTCCCGTTCTTAATTATTGGATAAGTGCATTGTTTTTTGTGTTAAAAAAATAATAAAAGTAGCAAAATTCGTATTTTTCATTATCTATTAATATAAACCACATTTGATAGTGATATGGGATATTATATAGCTGAGGAATAGACCAGTTTACCACATTGGCAGGGCAAGCTCGAGGTAGAGAAAACGGTATTGGTCGAGGGATAATCGACCAAAAGGGAAGAGATCGAGCAGAATAACAGAACTGGTCGAGGATCGACCTAGCGATGAGGGACTCGGTTAGATCGAGCACTCAACAGGTGAAGAGCAGTCGAGAGCGTGGCTTGAACGCGAGAAAGCGCGTGGGTGGCGTTAGAAGATCCCAACGGGATGCACAGAGAATAATGTCCCTCTGCTCAGAGGGACACGTGATAACCACCTTTGACGCTTCTGACACACACAGACTGTGTGTGTACTGACGGGCAGTACGGACAGGACAGCTCATCAGATCCGGGCAACTCCTAGGGCAGATATCTCACTCCTATATATATAGGAATGAGTCTTTTCTTGAGACTTACGATTTATCCATTCTTTACTTTGGAAAATTGAACAAACATATACTGACTTAAGCATCAGAGGCTCTTCACCGGAAAACCCCTCCGGTGTGAGAGTTCTGTGCAGGTGCGCGACGTTCTACCGGCGAGGAAGAGGAAGACGAACCGATTTCAGGCTGGTCGGAGTGTTTTGCGTTACCAGATAGGTTTTTGAATAATTATAATTTCTAAATAAATAAAAATAAAATAAATATTTTAGGTTGTGTTGGGTTGGGTTGTAGATAAAGATAATTTGAGTTGAAATGTTAGGTTGTGTAAGTAATGGAGGAGATAAATAATTTTTAGTTATTAGGTTGAGTTGGGTTGTTGATAAATGTAGTCTTAGTGAGAATTTTAAGTTTAAATTAAAATAATATTTAAAATAAAATAATTTAAATTTATTTGATGTGAAGTATGAGAAAAATGATTGAACGTGACAGTTAGTTAAAATTATGTGAGTAGATAAATAATAAATTAAGTTGATGTGATATGTAAAAATGATTAGTTGATATTATTTAATTATATTGAAGATAGTGGTGCTTAGTTAAATTTGAGTTTTAATCACACTCTAAAAAGTTTTTACAAATCTCAATTGAATACACCACTCTTAACTTATTTGAGACTATGATTTATTAAGAATTTTTAAGATTTGATGGGATTTTAAAGGAAAAAAACCTTATATGAAATCCCGCTTCAGATCTCACCTCCAGATTTAAGATTTCATAATATTCCTACAAAATTTAAAAATCTTAAAAAAAATCTCAAATCTTACAAAGTTTCAAAATGTCACTCGAAATCCAAAACAAATACAACAAGTTAAATACCTCAGAATTTTGTAATACATAATTTAGATAAAGTACTTGAATATTGATTATTATTCTGAGTCTGAGAGAGCAAGTAACTTAATGAAGCAAGACTTTGAAGAAAAGGAGGCCCAAAAGGAGGCCCAGGATTCTCCTTCCTCAAAAAATGAATTGGGCAAGGCGTACCCTTCTTTTTGTTCTTATCTAATTATATATATTATAGCCGAATCTTTGAAAAAGGCTTTCCTTCCTAAGAAAGAAAAGACTGACTATCTTTGGGATTTCAATATGCTCGACTTTGCCAGGTTAAACATTCCATTAGGGTATCCACATCCCTTAACATTCATTCAATCACAATGTATACTTTCTCTCATCCACATCATCTCCACATCATCTTTCCACTAAATATATCCATCTAAAAACACACCCACATTCAATCATTTAGTTAAATACAAACATATGAGACCCATTACTCACTCATTTAATACTATTTCTATATTCTATTCTTAAAAAAACTGAATAAATAATTAATATAAAACAAAAAAAAAAGAAATCAGAATAAAAAAAGGCACCCAAGGTGCATTAAAAATAAATGAAAAAAAAAAGCGCACAAATGTTCTGTTCAATGGACGAACGGATATATGGTGGCCCACCCCTTAATGAACAACAACAACGCAATGAATGGTAATTGGCCATTTAAACGGGGCAAATTAATGCCCCGTTGTGGATACCCTTAGGAAGCCTGGTCTTGACTCTTCTGTGTGGTATTTATTCTCGTTCGATTCTTGGAATCACATCTAGCAGTGGTTGGAACAGCTCGCAAAATCCAACCACTTCACCTACTTCATTGCCCCCAACCCTTAATACTTTTTAAATTCTCATCTATATATAATTCTCAAATGTGCTGAGCTTTTGACAGACTAGTATGCTCAGGATCCTATGTGACAATCTTTTACGCTTTGTCATTTGGCTTGGTTGAATTTTAATTTACTCCCCATCTTTTTTTTCCTCATATTTCTTTTAAAATTATGAAAAGATTAACTAACTTAAATTATAAGTATATTTAAAAGTTAATATTTTTTTATTTATTATGAATTTTTTATACATAATATATCAAATTAATCATGTATTGATTAGTTTCAATTTTACATCTATATTGTACATTAAAAGAAATAAATAATTTAAAAATTAAAATAATTTTTTTATTATTATTTTTAATTTTAAATATAAATTCTTTAACAAACATACGTGTAATAAACGAGTACTATACTAGTCCCAAATAAATACACCAAAATTTATAAAGTAGTATTAAAAAATTATAAATCTCAAATAAATACACCCACTCACCTTGGAAATCAACCCCAAAAAAAATCAACAAATTCACCACCTAAAATCAAATATTCGAGACGGAAAAAAAAATAATAATAATTAGAAAAAATAAAGTAAAATTCCACTTGAGTTGAAACCATATTTTCCGGATCTGGGGCTCTGCGGTGAGTGTTTAAACAACAAACATATGCTGTGCAATATTAGCTGTTGGATACTTTAAAAATAAATTTAACGGTCAAGAACTTTATTTCTAATTTATTAGCTGTTGGATACATTAAAAATAAATCTAACGGTCAAGAACTTTATTTCTTATAAAATTAGAGNAAAAATATATTGACACAAAAACAACAAACCAAAGTTTTCATGACTCTTCCAATGCTTGTTTACAAATTAATTCATTTTCAATCCAATTTATAATCAAAATCTAACTCAACTTTAACTCAACCCCATTATCTTTAATATTATTCATTTAATTAAATAATACAAATCAATCATCCTTACACATCACATCAACTTTAATTCACTATTCATCCACTCACATATTTTTAACTACCTATCATTTCTAATCATTTCCAATCATTTATCTCCTACTTTTACATCAAATTAATTTTAATCATTTTATTTTAAATATTATTTTAATACATTCTTAAAATCCCGCTAACAACTAACCATATTATCTTTTTCAAAATTAACTCTAGTTAACCAAAATAACTCATTTTGAATGAAATATTTCATAAACAAGCGGCCCCTAATTTTTTCTAATAGATAAAAATGTTCCTGCCACGGTTTTTTTGCCATTTTTTTTTATCACCATTATCACTTATCACCAAGAAACTAAATTAAAGAAAAAGTAAAATCCCACTGATAAAACACTCAGAACAACTTAAAAGTTCAAAAGAATGTGAAATTACCAAGAAATAAAGAAATTGACCATACGAATTAAATTACACGTAAAAGATATAATATTGAAAACAGATACAAAATCAAATAACAATGTCTTTGAAAAAAAAAAAAAAATCAAATTCATTCATGAAAATATTTTTCCGCTAAGATGACTATTGACATTTTTATTTTTTTTTTTCTCTTGCAGCCGAGTGGAGCAATTGGATTTTAGAGATATAAATTAAGATCGAGAGATTAGCTTAGCCTTCTTTGCTGTTCTTTTCCTGCGAAGGACCTGGAGAAAAGGGATCGAGATTTTGATCTATCGGTAAGTTTGTTTTGCAGATTTTTTGAGGGGTGTTCTTACTTTTTTCACATGTAAATTTTATTTTGCCCAAAATTTGTGGCCATTGGATCTTTTAATATCTAGCGGTAGATATTGCACAGCAGATACTGCTGTTTAAGTGAACACCGCAGAGCCCGCAGATCCATATTTTCCACCTTATCATCTTCTCACTCGCTACCACTCTCACCAGCCATGGCCACTCTAAACCTCTCAATCCTCCCCAAAACCCTAACCCCCAATTCGAAAACCCTAACTCCTCTCTTATCATTCTCTTCATCTTCCTCCCTATCATTCGTCCACCGCGCTCCTGCGCATCCAGCCAAAACGAGACTCGCCAATTTCCGAGAGGTGAAAGTGGTGGCTGATGGGGAATACTCCGCGAAAAGGGGCGGCGGCGGTGAGGAAAGGGAGACGATAATGTTGCCCGGCTGTGATTACAATCACTGGCTCATCGTCATGGAGTTTCCGAAAGACCCAGCTCCAACCAGGGAGCAAATGATCGACACCTATCTCAACACACTAGCGACGGTTCTTGGGAGGTTTTTTTTTCTCTTTTTATTTACCTTTTATTGATTTGTTTATTCAGTTATTAAGTCAGAGGAGCTGTAAATATTGTTAGGGTTGCAAATGATGGTTTAGTAAAAGCCCTCGTTAAAAGATTTGGCCCAAAGATAGCATTTCTCCTAGGAGATGTGCAGTAATTCCTTGGCCTTTTCAGTTCGTTCCTTCAATTATTTAGGCAAAGGAGCTTTAAATGTTGTTAAGGTTGCAAATTATGGTTTAGCAATAACCCTGGTTAAATAATTTGGCCCAAAGATTGCATTTTCTTTTTTTCCTTGTCTAGTATAGGTGTAGTAGTTGTTTCTAGGAAAATACAGTCTATATATGCTGCTCTGTAGGTACTCATTTGAGTGTTTAGTTTGATATACTTTATATCAAGCACTACGATATTGTATCACTGAAAAATTTAGGCAATTCAAACCTCAGCTAATTGGTGGTTATAAATACTGTTTGGAAGCATATGAAAATGGTATCACAATGGGGTTAAAGTTCAGAGGTTATATGTGGCGACAGAGCCGGTCCTGAACATTAGTAGGCCCTGGGCGAAATACAAAAAATAGTGCCCCAAGTACTTTGTTTTGATTAAGTGTAGTCATAGCAAAAACAATCTTACATAGACATAGACAGGAAAAATCAATATTATAAGATATACAGCATGTATCATGTATGACATGCACATGATCATTTTAATCTTCCATGAGGTATTATATTTGTTTTGAGAGGTATCATATTTGTTTTGAGAGGTTTTGAGAGGTTTGAACAGTCTTGGATGAGGTATCGTATTTGTTTTGAGAGGTTTGAACAATCAAGTAATGAGCTCCTTACCAATAAGGAGCAAACTTGAGATCATATCAAGACTACTGCTATCTGCTAAGAAGTTAATAAATATCCAAGTATAAAGAGACTGGAAAGTTTGAAAGAAAATCAATTGAGCTCCACACTTAAGATAAAGTAATTAAACCTAATCATTCAGCAAGCCAAACCATAGAACCGAGCCCAAAGCACTCAATGACTCACACACAAAAAGATCACACCTTTTTAAGCAAAGGCAACCACACAATATATATATACCAAATGTTACCAGATCCCATCACTTAATGTAATCTCCAAAACATTTCACCAACTGTCAACTCTACCATTTGCCAATAATTTCAAAACAATCACAACCAGCCAAATAAACATGTAGAATTCAATATATGTATAAATTAATCCTTGTGAGAAGTTTTGAAAAAATCAGTATTTGTAGAAGTCCAAAATAATAATTATAATAATAATAATAATAAAAAACAAACAAAATTGAGGTAAGACTGATCTCCAAAATCGTGAGCTTCTATTAAAAAACTTAAAAATAGTTTTCATTGGCAAATTCAGTAGAATCGACCTCAATAGAATTCGATTCATAGTTAAGTGAAAAATCCAAGCAATTCCAACAGAACGCAGAAGCCAAAAGAAACTAGGGTTGGCAGGACAAAGAATATGAAAACTTGGATTGGAATTCTAGTTTGCCTGGCAGATGGGAAATAGAAGAACACAAATCAACAAAGCTTCCTCCTCTGAGATCCGTCAGTAAATCACCATGTCTTCATCGATTCTCTCGCTCTCTCTCTCTCCACATTTTTCCCTCTATATGTGTCGTAACATATTTTTATTTTTTGTTAAAACTAATAAATGTTAGTATTATATGAGCTAATGGGTGCCCCTCCTTCAACTTGGGCCCTGGGCGGCCCTGTGTGGCGACATAACACTAGTGAGCTTTTTAACTTGGATATACTGATACCTTATGTTCAATCTATTTGGATGATGTAAACCACCTCACATCTGTTTACGAATTCTGTATGTTAGCATGGAAGAAGCAAAGAAGAACATGTACGCGTTTAGTACAACTACGTACACTGGGTTCCAATGTACTGTATCTGAAGAAACATCCGAGAAGTTCAAAGGTATACATTTCACAATTGAAGTTGTGTTAATTTTTTTAAGAAAAATCCTTGATTGAGTTTCCAATTTCAGAATTGACTTTTTTCTGGTTGCACTTCTTCATTTTTTAGGTCTACCTGGTGTTTTATGGGTCTTGCCCGATTCTTATTTGGATGTCAAGAACAAGGATTATGGAGGTTTGTCATTTTTTCTTAGAATACTAGTTTTTTTTATAACATTGATAATTTGATATTTAAATACCGGATGGCTACTACTTTCTTACAGTTTACAGTTCTGCTTCCTTATTTTCTTTTAACTATTTTTTTCCTCTTCATTTTTATGGTTGTAGGAGACAAGTACGTTAATGGAGAGATAATCCCTTGCCAGTACCCGACTTATCAGCCAAAGCAGAACAGAAGTTCAAAACCGAAGAGCAAAGCATACGTAAGGCAGCGAGATGGCCCTCTTTCTGAAAGTAGAGGACCAAGTCAAAAAACATCTCCAAAATCTGCTTCTTAATGGGCTTTGACAGGTTCAATTCTCTTCCTGTGATTTTGTAATTCAGTTTTAGAAGTATTTAGTTATTTGATTCTTTCTGGTTTTTGTAGGTCGTTGTTGGAACAGTAGATGCGGATAGAATCACTGTTAATGTGCATCATTGGTGGCTTTTTTTTTGGTTCTGAAGCTCGGAGGAGGTTGATTGAGTTTAGCAACACTTGTTCTATGGTTTTTGTTGTTTGTTTGCAGTCTTTATGATGACCGTGATGTATTACGAAGAACTCTTATCAGGGCTAGCTGTGTGACTATGTAAAACATGTTTCTTGTTGCTCAATGACAAAATAGCTTGCATGATTTGAGTATTTAGCTTTATTTTGTTTTTGGATATAGTGTTGTTTTCATTGTCTAAAAGGCATCTAGCCACTATTCAATGAATTATGATTTATGCATGCCTGACCTGCGGCCTATACAACTTGTGACGTGCTAGGCATGTTATGCCACCTAGTTCGTTGCAATGTTTTTTAAGCAAAGTGCCCAATTGGTAAGTTCTAAACGAGTGGGGTTCATTGACAAAAGAATTGGGCATGCAACTTTTCTTCTTCTTCAATGATTGTTGGTTGATGCCTAATCGTGTATTGTGAGATGGTGCATTTGCAAGCCATTGCATTTAAGTATGTAGATTGTGTTCCTGAAAGAAGAGATGTAAGCTTATATTTGGTGTTTTTATTGTTAGGAACTGATTAATGCAATCTATATGCATTGACTACTTTCAGGTCACGACATTGCATTATGTTCGTTGGTATCATCTTGTACCATAGAACTAATATTCATTAACTGTAAGGGACACACTTTATTGGATGTCAAATGACTCGTGTTCTAAATAGTGTTAGCCGCTAGACAGACATTATGTTTGGTCCCAACACTTTGGTGAGGCTAGAACGGGCTATAAGATAGATTAGATGGGGGTTAATCTGGAAAATTGTGATAAACATAAGAAGCCAAGGGGAGCTAAAACCGAGTTGAACTCAAAAGATTGTAAAACGAGCAAGGCCCTACGAAGGTTATGGTCCATAATAACATTGCTTCAGGTTATAAAATCATGGAAAGATGAAAGCAAAGATTGATGCCATCCTTATGTCTATGTATGGATTAATGAACTAAGAACAAATGCCAAGAATTTGAAGAAGTCCTCAAATATCTCTTCTCATTAGTAAAAATCTTTTTCATGTTGTCTTTGAACAGATGACTCACTTTCCATCTTGTTAAGAAAATAATCGTTCACAACACAGTGACATTAGAATAATCATAATCAGTTGAATCATCCTGCTCTGCCTCTAACCGAATAAGAATTGACTGACTGATATCAAACCCAAGTCTCTACTTCAAATATAACATGAACTTGCACCAAATTTACTTTGCTCCCTTTACATGTAGAGAGTAAGGCAACATATGTTGCCCTTCAAAAGTTGAACAACCAACAGACCACGAGCGTAAAACCAAAAGCCTACGACAGGCGGGCATACAATGCCAAAGAGCAAGTTCCGAATGCCAACTGCAAATCAACCCAATTTGTCAAAACAAATCCGATCACTTTTTTCGATGAGGGAGGGATGCCATTCGATCACCTTCATTTGGACGCTCCTGTCCTCACTGACGTCGATCTTCTACATTTTGGTGCACATAATTTTGGTAGATATCGGACCTATGCAAGCGTTTTATACTTGAGTACTTTCAGGAATATGAGAATTGATCCCAAGGAGAACCGACCATGCAATGACTGAATTCAAGGATTCAATGGTCGGACCCAATTCCCAAGGGAGAAATAACTTTACCCATCTAGTTCGGAGGACACAGACCAACTGGGAAGACGATTCTGGAAACTATCAAGATGGTAAATCATGAGACCGAGTACAACGCCATCTTGGGGAGGACGACTTTATAAAAACTCCGAGCAGCTGTAGCTGTTTTTCACTACTCTCTCAAGTTCCTGACCTCTAAAGGATTGAGAATTCACTGCGGAGACCAACGAGAAGCTCGGGAATGCATTATGGTTGTCCCTTCATTTGAAATACAAGTAGCTGAAAATGTCGAGGTCATTAAGCTAACTAGAGGAAGGGAAAAAATCGAGTTGGTGTCGGTAGACTTTGTCGGAATCCTGATGACCGACCCCAATTAAGCGGGTCAAGCAGTTTTAAGTCCGCTAACATATGAAAGTGTCTGTCCAGATGAAATGAACAATTATGAGGTCGAGTAACCCAAGATCGATGAAGAAGACTCGACAAAGAACCCATGAAAGAAGAGTATGAACTCGACCCACGTGATCAATTTAAAATAGAAGAGAGGTGGAGAATGTGTCGAGCCGATGGAGGATGTGGATCTAATTTACATTGACGGACGGACCTGCCAAAAACAACTCTGCATTGGCAAGAATTTGGCAGAACCCTTCCGATCAAACTCATCAAATTCCTCAAATAGAATACAGATGTGTTCGCGTGGGTGCATGAAAATATGATCAGGATCGACCCAAAGGTGGCCTGCCATAAGCTGGAGATCGACAAGATGGTCAAATCGATCGAAGAAGAAGTGATAAAGTTAGTCGACAACCAGTTTATTCGGGAGGTGCATTGTCCGACCTGAGTATCAAATCTAGTCTTGGTAATCAAAAGCAACGGTTCGTGGAGGCTGTGCATCGATTTCTCTGACTTAAACAAGGCGTGTCCGAAAGACAACTATCTCTTACCTCACATTGACTACATGGTCGACGCAACTTCTGGCCACGAGCTAATTAGCTTTATGGACGCGTATTCGGATTACAACCAAATTTTGATGGACCTGGATGACCAAGAGCACACTTCAAGATAAATCATTCAATGATGGTTGCACAATGGTTTCATGACTTGACTGTTGATCTTTTGGCCCGAGTTTGAACCATGAGAGCAACTATCATTAATTTTTCCTCTAAAGAAAGGAAGGAGCAAAAAAGTAAATTTTTATTTTAAAATAAGGAAATAAGACAAAAATGAATAATTATTGCAGATTTTTAATAATTTTTGTTTTCGTGACCACCAGAAAAATAAATAGATGATATAAACACTAACTTATGCGATGGTGGAGAAGATGAGAACCGCTTNAATTGTTAGAGAACACATTAATTCTAGGACAAGTGATGCCCACCAAAGAGGATAAACAAAAGCAAGCAGGAGACAATAAAAGCTAAAAGGAGAAAGTTTGAGGAAGCAAAAGAAAGAAGTACCAACTAAACCAAGAACAAACATTAATTAGAAGGAAATGAGAAATTTCATACTAATGGGAGGAACTCGAGAGATAATTTTTTATTCAACAAGTGGAACTTGAAAATATAATAATAAAGTATGGCTAAACATTTGAGAAAAAATAATAATAATTAAAAAAATCCACTTGAATAGAAACTGTAGTTTTTTAACCTCGACTGTCTCGACTCAGAGCAGAGAGCGGTCTGGGTGGTGATTCGAACCGAGTGTCAATAGAGCCGTCAATCCAGCCTTGACCCCGTGGATCGGGCGTCAACATGGACGGGTAAACTCAGTTTGATCCAGTCATTATACATTTTTTTTTTTTAGATACATTTTTTACTTTAAAAATAAGAACTATGTGTATATATTTATATGTATATATTTATTATTGGATACAATATTATTAAACAAAGTTAATATAAAAAACATTTATTTTATTTTATTTTTATACGTATTAATATAATTAACGATTGTGTCACATGGCTCTCCCCTCTCCTGAAAATTTGGTTCGAAGATCAATTAATTCGAAAACAAAATGTGCCAGATGTGGTGGGTTGGAATCAAATATCCACATTTTCTTCGATTGCGAATGGGTTAAACGATTGTGGAAAATGGCGGGATGGTGGGATTTTCTGGTCAAATTACAAGGTGAAAGCTTCATCTCGAACCTTTTTGAAATACTGGATGGGGATCGGGATATTGAAATTCTGGGCTCTGTAACTTTTTTTTGGATTATTTGGAATGAGAGGAACCGTATTCAACATGGCAAGCTGGCGAGGAGTGTGGGTCAAATTTGGGCGCTCGGTAATGCTTGGTTGGAAGAGACAAACACTGTGTCTCCATGCTCCTCCAGTATTGGGCAAACACTCAGTCCGACCCCGATCATTTCTTGGCCTGGTCCAGGTACATGTTTAAATGGTTTCTCCATTTTTTGTGATGCGGCGGTAAACGATACTTCAATTGGAGTTGGTGGGTGGATTTGTAATTCGAATGGTCTGTGTTGGGCTGCCTTCGCTTCTCATCAGGCAGGATCTTTTTCCCCGGAATCAGCGCAAGCATTTGCTCTCAGATTTGGATTACAATTTGCTTTGGATGCAGGCTTTATGATTCAAACCGCAAAAATCGACGCCATTTCTACTATTTCTGGCATTTTGAACAATCATCCTGTCGACCCTTTGCACAATATTTTTGCTGATATTGTTGGTCCTTTGTCATCGCTGAATTGTGGATTATGCTGTCACGTTAGTCGTGAGCACAATGTTATAACTCATAATATAGTTAAATGGGCTATTAGATCGACGGGATCCTCCTTGTGGAAAGAGTCTCTCGGGCCGTCTCCAGAAATATGGGGGCCCCAGACAAATTTTTTGTTTTTGAATTTTTAATTTTGCTTTGCGTGGTAATTAGGGTTATTTTCAGATAGAATCATATCAGAAAAAAAAAACTTAATTAAATAAGATTATTAAATAAATAAATAATTGAGATTTTTTTTTTCTTGTTTTTCTATATCTTGAAACTGATAAATTGCCTTTGGGTTACAAAGATCTTTAATAAATTATATTTAAGCAGTCATGAGGACACAAGGAGAATATTTATTTTCGCACAACTTATTCTGACCGAACATCTATATCTATATCTATATATATATAAAGAGGTTGTTGGAAAAATACATTAATAGAAAGTTTGACTAAATAAATATAATGTTTGACTTACTATTAATAGAAAGTTTAAAAAACACATGTGAATCTTTAGTAACAAAATCTAAATCCTGTTTTTTTTTTGTAACAAATTTGGAGATTCTTATGGCAAAATTTGAATCCCATATTTTTCGTATCATATTTTATTTTTTTACCAAAATTTAAATCATATCTTTTTTGGTAACAAATTTGGAGATTTTTATGCAAAAAATGTGTCAATTATTTATGAAAAAAATTCTAAATACAAATTAATTTAAAAACCGTGAAAATTGGATACAAATTTAGGAAGCAAATAGTTGTATAATTCTTATCCAATTCTTCCGATCTTATTGAATAATTTTTTCTTTCAAAAAATTATGTAAATTGGATAAAGCCACATGCAATTTTTATTTTAAAATAAAACTGATATTTGGATGGGATGTACATTCAAAATTGTGTCCACATTTTTTGGTAACAAAAGCGGTTCATCATTGATATTTAAAGTCACCTTATCCAATTATTTAGGAAAAATTATGTGCATCTTTTCAAAATTTAAATGCATCGATTTTTTTGAATTCTTATGTTTTTTCTTAACCATGTTTTACCGAGATTTTGGTAAGTTCATATCATTTTATTTTTTGGTTAAGTTCATATCATTTTCTGTATGAAAGAGACAGTTGCATAAACATTAACAATTTATTGCAATTTTTTATTAGAATTATTTTCAATTCAATTTGTTTGGTACAAAAATTGGTTCAATGTTAGGAAAATTTGGTTGCATTTTTAGGAAAAATTGATGATTTTTTTTATTTGGTTTAAAAAAATCGGATCAATTTGTTTGATAAAAAAAATCGGTTTCATTTCCGGGACTAACTAATGATTCTTTTCAATTTTTCTTAATTGAAATTTAGAATTAGATTTAAAATAAATAATGGGTGAAAATCTCTAAAAAAATTTACTTTTTTTTCTACTTTAATTTTGTTCCTTTAATTTTTTTAAAATTTCTGAACTAATAACTAATAATATGCAATTTTGGATAAATTTGAACACCTATGTAGTACTTTACGTGACAAAGAATCAAATCAATAATGTTGTACATAAGGAAGTGTTTAATAACATATAAATTTTATTTTTATAAAACTTTTAATGGCATGAGACAATTTAAGTACAAAAATATCTTTTAAAAAATATATATATAATAAATGCTCTCGTGCATCGCACGGGCACCGTACTAGTTATAAGAAAACAAATGATATATTTTGGACCTCAAATTCCCACACAAAATACATATTTTATCATTAGTTCTTTCATTTATGTAATGAGTCAAGTTCATATTTAGTCATTAACTACTTTGTTTGTTTAAATAGGCAAAGTTCAACACAAATACATAACACTAAAAAGAAAAAAAATTAAGGCCCTAGACATGGACCTAGCGTGTCTCCCCAAAGAGCCGGCTATCTCTCTCCCTTCATTTCTATATTCTTTCTTTCGTTATGTAGTGTGTACTATCATATGCTTAATTGAATAAAGTTAGTTTGTTTTTTCCCCAAAATATATATACATATATATATTAAAATTATTATAATTATTATATAAAATTAATTATCATTCAGTAACTTGGAGGCGTGCCCGGCCATGGTTTAAAAACTATGGTTGAATAATTTTCCACCTTATCACCTGGCTCACTCGCAGCCACTCTCACCAGCCATGGCCACTCTAAACCTCTCGATCCTCCCCAAAACCCTTACCCTCAATTCGAAAACCCTAACTCCTCTCCTCTCATTCCCTTCAATTTCCTCCCTATCATTCATCCACTGCGCTCCTACGCATCAGACCAAAACAAGAATCACCAATTTCCCGGCGGTGAAAGCTGTGGTTGATGGGGAATACTCCGCGAAAAGGGGCGGCGGCGGCGGTGAGGAAAGGGAGACGATAAGGCTACCCGGATGTGATTACAGTCACTGGCTCATCGTCATGGAGTTTCCCAAAGACCCAGCTCCTACCAGGGAGCAAATGATCGACACCTATCTCAACACACTAGCGACCGTTCTCGGAAGGTTTTTTCTCCTTTTTCCTGACCCTTTTCGATTTGTTTCTTCAGTTGATAAGTAGAAGGAGCTGTAAATGTTGTTAAGCTGCAAATTATGGTTTAGCAGAAGCCCTCGCTAAAAGATTTGGCCCAAAGGTAGCATTTTTTCTATTGATTTCTTCAAGTATTTAGTGAAGTGAGCTATAGATGTTGTGAAGGTTGCAAATTATGGTTTAGCAAAAGCTCTCGTTAAAAGATTTGGCCCAAAGATAGCATTTTTTTGTCAAGGAGATGTGTAGTAATTTTTTCCAGGAAAATACAGTATATATGCTACTCTGTAGCTACTTCATTTGAGTGTTTAGTTTGATATACTTTATATCAAGCACTGTAATATCATATGACTGAAAAATTTAAGCAGTTAAAACCTCAGCTAATTGGTGGTTATAATTTTTTGTTCGGAAGCATATGGAAATGGCATTACAATGGGGTTAATGATAAGAGGTTAACAATAATGAAGGTTTTAACTTGGATATACTCACACCTTAACACCTCACATGTGTTTGCGAATTCCATATGTTAGCATTGAAGAAGCAAAGAAGAATATGTACGCGTTTAGTACAACTACGTACACTGGCTTCCAATGTACTGTATCTGAAGAAACATCCGAGAAGTTCAAAGGTACACGCCTTTCGCAATTGAAGATTTGATTATGTTATTTTCCAAGAAAAGTCCATGATTTTGAGTTTCCAATTTCAGAATCGACATTTTTTCCTTCTGATTGCACTTCTTCATTTTTAGGTCTACCTGGTGTTTTGTGGGTCTTGCCAGATTCTTATATCGATGTCAAGAACCAGGATTATGGAGGTTTGTCATTTTTTCTCTTAAGACTGTTATTATTTTTATGATATGATATCTAAATGCAGGATGGCTGCTCTACTATATTACATTTTAAGCTTCTCTTGCCTCTTTATTTGCTTTTAACCGTCTTTCTCCTCTTCGTTTTTATGGTTGTAGGAGATAAGTACATCAATGGAGAGATAATCCCTTGCCAGTACCCGACTTATCAGCCAAAGCAGAACAGAAGTTCAAAACCGAAGAGCAAAGCATACATAAGACAGCGAGATGGCCCTCCTGCTGAAAGTAGAGGACCAAGTCAAAAAATATCTCCAAAATCTGCTTCTTAATTGGCTATGGCAGGTTCAATTCTACTTTGTTATTCACTTTTAGAAATATTGAATTATTTGGGGTTTTTTTTTTTGGTTTTTATTTATAGGTCACTGGTATAATAGAACGGGTCCCGAATGGAATCACTGTTAATGGATGTTCATCATTTGTGGCTTTATTTGGTTCTGAAGCTAGGTTGAGATTGGTTAAATTTAGCAATTGACGTGCAATTGCTGATACATATTGGCCATTCAAAATGAGAGCCGTAGTTAATGCTGTAGTTGTTCAATTTGAATATAATGTGTTGTTATTATTCAACTGTTTGGATCTTTTGGTGGGCGGCAAAATGATGCTATAATAGTCTATCTTGTTTGTTTTTACTTTTCTCCTTCATTCATTTTTTCTTGTGTTGACATTAAAGCTTTACATTACACTTCATCACTGATATCACGTCAAATATATCTTTTAGCAATGTTAAAGTCCACTGACTCTGTAAACAATGATACAATAATTTAGCGGTCATCAAATATAATACAAAAACTTGTAAAAATAACCAAATCAAGGCAATTTAGATAATTAATTTACCAATTTTGATTATCTTTCTTTGTATACTAATTGTTAAATGGATCACTTTCTGATGATTTNTTTGATAAGCGCTTTTAAGAAGTCAACTTACTGAAAAAAAAAAAATGGAACTTTCTCATATATTGGTGCCTGGTGGGCAGAGTATGGGTTGGTTATTTTATATCTACGGCTATTTTGAAATAAAAAAACTTAATATAAATATTTCTTAATATTTAATTTATAAAATTAATTTAAATATTAATGTAATATTTATTTTATAAAAGTATTTTTAAAATTTCTTTCCTTCATTATAACCATAATAAAATTGATTTTAATATTGTTCTTTCTTGCATCATACAAGTGTGTACTAGTTATTACCTAGATTTATGTGAGAGGATTTCAAATTATAAATAAAACATTCTCAAATATAAACAAAGTCAAATCAGAAACTACTAATAAGAAAAAGAAAAAAGGAGCATCTATATATTCTATTTACACGTTTGAGACAATTAGGCCTTTATATATCTAGTATATAATTGCTAGCTAAGCAATACATTTTACTTAATAAATATAACCTAATAAATTTTACTTGTGGCAAATCATTAATAAAACCTAATAAATAGAACCTAATAAATTTTATTTATGTGGCATTAATACACCTAATCTCATTAATAAGAAAATATTTCATTACATTTTTTGGATTAATTAAGACAAAAATCATTATATTTTATGTTAATTGATTAATAATTATATTTTTTATTGAATAATATAATAGTTAATATTAAAATTAGTAATTATATTTTATACTAAATAATATATGAAAGTTACATAAAATTATATTTTACACTAAAATCAATATTTTTAATTATATTTACACTAAAATCAATATTTTTTTATATGATGAAGATGTTGTTATTAATAAATTAATTTTTTTTTATGTCATAGTAAAATTTCTTAAAATCACATAAGCAATTGTTATAATAAATGTAATATTTTTCAGCTAATTAATTGGTCATGATCACTCAAAATTATAAAAAGTATATATTTATTGCATTTTATGCAATCAATATAGTGATTCGTATACAATCAAATCGTGTGTACTATTTATTTTAACCAATGATCAAATTTTAAAATATAATACTATTATATAATTTATAATTTTAATATTATATACATAAATGTAACTTAAATACTATATGTTTGATAATACAATTATATAACTTATATTTTTTATATTATATATATAAATATAATTTATAATATTTAATTTTATTTACATCTGTGCAAATGCACAAGGTCGAATACTAGTTGAAAAGAAAAAGAACTATGGCGTGAGATCAATCTATTTAATAAGGAGAAAAAGTATTTATTTTCAGAAATACTAATACTTGTATAAGGCATCCCAAGTATTTATTTGAGATGTGCACAAAATGTCAAAGGAGTAGTTACATTTTAGAACTATTATTATTCCTGGATTTGTGATGCTTAATTTGTTATTAGATTCATTAAATGAGGCTGAAATGGCGAAATGTCAATTAGGGTAGGTTATTGGATACCTTAGCTTAGTCAAATGACAATTATTTCCTTTATATTATATTTTCCTTAAAAGCTGGAAAATGCCCCTCACAAGACCATTTTTCATTTATATAGTGCTGTTAAATTAAATGAGTCTTGCTCGACTTGGTTCGTTAAGGCTCGAGTTCGAGGCTTTAACGAGTTGGGTTCGAGCTCACTTATAGCTCGTTTTGTTAATGAGCCGAGCTCGAGTCGGCTCGATAAGGCTTGAAAAGAGAATTTTTATATATTTTTTTATAGTTCGGCTCGTTAACGTTCGGGATCGGCTCGTTAAGGCCTCCAACTCGAGCCTTAACGAGCCGACCTAGAGCTCGATTTTTAACTCGTTTATTTAATGAGCCGAGAAGAGCTCGAGCTCGAGCACCTTAAGCTCGAACTCGGCTCGGCTCGTTTACAGCCCGATAAATATATTAATAACTCAAAAATAGTACATCCCAGATGTCAAAGGACACCATAATAACCAAAACAAAGTCTGAATCAATACTCCATTGCAATTACGCAGGCACCCAATGGGTTATTATCACCCGGGAAACAAAAACTCCAAACCGAAGACTATACCAAACTCTAAAAAAGAGACTACGAAGCTCCCTGGAGAGACTAACAAACCCAAAAAGAAAATACAACACACACCTACAAACAATAGAATACAGTTTTTCATAAATCTCGCGGTGACAGCGTTAGGGTCACTCGAACTGGCACACGAACCAAACCTCACAGCACAAAATTTCAAGAGAGCTGCAAATCTAAAACCCCATAGCCAAAAACTGCAACCTTACTCAAGCGCCTAATCAAATCTGACGATGGGAGAAATTTCAGTACAGATTAACTCTAATGGTCTTTAAAGCCAGAAGGGAGAACAACCATCACCGGCCCGCTATGGCCGGGAAAAGGGGCTCATGATGTAACATGTTTTTATCTATCAAAATCCTAAGGCTCTCTGACTATGCAATATTTGCAGTAATTTAGATCTGAAGATTATAACTTTATGAAAAATTGAAAATTATAAGAAATGGTGAAATTGGATATCCATTATATTTATATTTTATCTATTAATCAGTTTGGTTCCATGCTATGTTGATTTGCACTGAAATATCACCTTTTGTTAACTTCAAATCAACATGCACCGTGTGTATTTGCTTTTGATCCGAGATTCAAAACCCGAAGTGGGGTTTAGTTTTCCTATACAAATCCAATTAGATCCTAAAACCATTATAAGAAAACAATAAATAAACCAAGAATGAATGAACAGTGAAGTCAACTTGAGAATGGGCATACATTGCATTTACTAATAAAAATAAAGTTAGAACATGTCATTATATTAACCTAAAAAGTCATAAAGCATAAAGCAAGAGTTGTGTGAACTATGATTATCAATCATATGTTCAGATCAATTTTTTTTTTTTTTCTTTTTTCTTTTTCCCAAAATAACATAAGCACACACATACATATTGTTTTACGTTATATGTTGAAAATAGTGATTACCCCTTTATTTTAGTTACTGTCAAAATTGTCTGGCAAGATGCCCATGTAAATTAGTTAGGCCATTTTATTAATAATTTAAAATCGTGGGGTACTTACTCATCAATAGATTATAAAACAAAGATTCTTATCATTTACTGTTTATATTGGGTGAAAAAAATGCAAAGTTTTGTTCTATTTTATGTGAAAAAAAATGATATTTTCTCGTTCACGTGATTCATTAAACCAAGCTCTGGTCTTATAAAGCCAATTATTTTTCTTGGTATATATATTTTTATTATAATTGAAGCTCCTATTTATAAGAAACATTTGATGTCACAACTTGTAATAATACAAATACATCAAAGGGAAAAATAGTCATTCACTTGTATAGATTATAATTGTGTGGTTCATAACAAAATATAGCCTTTCTGAGTAAATAAACATATGATTCACATATTTCAAAGATCTATTGTTTTCGAATATAAGTAAATTTCAAAGATCTATTGTTTTCGAATATAAGTAAATGAGGGTGTCCCATCAAATTATGTTGTGAATTATTTATGATATCTAAAATCCCCATTAGAGTTTTGAGATTATGAGATTATGATTGTTGAATCTTGAGTCACAACATTGGATATGTTTGGAAATTGTTAAGTACATATAAGACAATGTACAAATACTAGAATATTGTTACCAATTCAAACTTGTTGTTTTCTTGAATTCTAATGAATATGTTGTTTTCTTGTCTTATCTTTTATACCGATAACAAATTTTGATGGAAAGGATCCGTGGATCCATTTTGGTATTCATAAGGTTTAAGAGAAGAAAAATTTTAAATTCCAAAGGCTGACATTTTTTTTTAATTTCACAGCTCTATGAAACAATGTGATTTTCTAATATAAATTAATATTTTTAATTTTGGAAATAATATTAAATAGCATTTATATATAAAGATGTGAGGTAAGATGTGATTTTCTAATATAAATTAATATTTTTAATTTTGGAAATAATATTAAATAGTATTTATATATAAAGATGTGAGGTAAGATTTACGGTAGATAAATTAATTTGATAGAGTACTAAAATGTTATACATGTAACTTGATAAAGTACTAAAATCATGTTATGTATGTATCTAAAATGTTGTTTATTTTTAAAACAATGAAATCCTAATTGTTCTATGATAATTTACAAAATAAAGTGATTTTCTCTTTAATAATTAATATAAAAATTTAAATTTTTATATATAAAAATGAATATATAAAGACTATAAATATTTATATAAAAAGAAATTAGCCATTAACGTTGATTAATTTAAAGTTGACTAGAATTGTTTACGGTATTATTAGCATGATGACAAATTTGATATTTATGAAATTATTGTATAAATAACTTAATAAAAAAAATAAGATTTTAGATCATGTATAATATATTTATTAATCTCTTAATTAAAATTAATCAATAATTTAATTATTTAGGGAAAAAAGCTGCAGTTGAAAATGGAAATATATGGTTTGTTGAAGAGTCTAGGATGACAACGGTAATATTTGATTGGCTAGAAAATGCCGTTTTAAATGACGGTATGTTTTCCTATTTTTGCTAATAGATCTACTTAAGAATTCATCCGGGGATAACAAAACAACTCTTTCCACAATTGCTAATAGATCTACTTAAGAATTCATCCAGGTGATAACAAAACAACTCTTACCACAACCAGTTCCTATGAAAGATCCCATCCACACCGCTGAAGTGTCCCTGTCCACACCCACTGTTCTAAAAATCGGCTTAGGCGCTAAACGATGTCTGGACACCTTTGATTTGTATAAATCGACAAAAAAAATCGGTCAGGCAGCTAGACAGCGCAGGCGGGCCTAGACGGCCCTAGGCGTTCCTAGGCGGGCTTGGCGGGCTCGGCGGCCA